CCACGACATTCTAATTTATTGAGATGCACCTGTATATATATATCTTCATTTGTTCAACAGAAGAAAGAAACTCATACAGGATTTGGTGTTGAGGGTGAGTAAACGAAGACAGAATTTTCATTTTTGGGTGAACTAAACCTTTAAGGGTTTAATCAGGCAGAAAAAGTTACTTATAGTTTATGATGTGTGATTGGATCACAAACTGTTTTGGACCCCATTCACACCTGTTTTGTGCGCCGCTTGCTTCCGAAATATGAAAATACAAGTGAAAATTGTCCTTGGATTAAAATGACCATGAGCTAATCATTCAGTACAGTGGTGTGTATAAATGTACAGTGGCACCACCACTTCAGTAACTCTCTATGTTCCCTCTGAAGGTGAAAAAGACATCGGAGGCCACGCTCAGCACTATCCAGGACATGGTGAACATGGAAGACTACGACGTGTCCGAGAGCTTCCAGCACAGTCGCTCCACTGAGTCGGTCAAATCCAGTGTATCAGACACTTACCTCAGCAAACCCAGCCTGGCCAAGAGACGCGCCAACCAGCAGGAAACGGAGCTCTTCTATTTCACAGTAAATGTTGGCCCACACACACTCGCTCAAACAGGGCCTGTTTTGGAAATACAGCGTTTAATAAGACATTTACTTGCATCAAACACAGAAAAGAGCACAGACACCATATTTATTCTCCTTGCATCACACTTTGCAGCCAATGATCTGTTTACACTGTAGTTTTGTAGCGTTGTGACCCCTGGGTCAATGGTCTTGTTTTAGCCTAAAGCAATGTCAGTATCTTTAAAGTTCATGGCTACTGAAGGATGACCAGGACTAATTAGATCATTAATTTCCAGTGTAATTGGATTATTACTGACCGTGTGTATTTGTGTGGCTGCAGAAGCTGAAGGAGTATCTGGAAGGCAGTAATCTCATCGCTAAACTACAAGCCAAACATGACATGCTGAAGAGGAGCATAGCTGAAGGTGATGTTGCACTTTTCTCTAAATGTGTAATTATTATGATTATATTTATTATTTACTATTGTATACGACTACTGCTGCTGCGGCTGCTAACAATGAGAAAATGAGAATGGTTTAGAAATGGAAAAAAATAAGAGATAATAATAATAAATAACATTTGTAAATCTTTTCTGATTTATAAAATTCTATTTTAATATTAATATGAATACTGCTGCTACTACTACTACTAATAATAATATAAATATTAAAATAATTAAAACTCATTTAAATATTTTATTATTTATTGATGAATAAATGAAAATATTATTTAATAAATGATTATAAAAATGTGCATTAACAGCTTTGTCATAAAATGTGTATTAATTTACCATTTGTACTTGATCAATTATATACAGTATATATATATATATATATATATATGGATCCATGTGAATAAAACCAAGATAAATAATTTGTGTCCACCATTTGAAATTATATAATGAAGAGTAAGTGACATCACTTGAGCTTTTAGATTAGTTGAGTTTATGTCTGAAGAGCAGTGAAATATGGTCTAATATAATATCTATATCCACAGGATACAGAGCAGACATCATGACAACCAGGTAAATCTCGTCATCTATGTCTGACCTTCTTTTAATGCCCTTTTTACATATACTGCTCTGCATCACAAGGTCCTTTTGATATTTGTAAAGGTTCTCATGACCTTTTTGAATGCTAAATCTCTTGTTTCAGTTGTATTTCTCTCTTTTTTCCACTTAGCCGTCGACGAAACTCCCACAGCAGGCACCAGG